CATCTGCTCTCCTGCTGGTCGACTTATTAGCATACAAGTCAACCCAACTGTGAAAATAGTTTTCAGTTCAAAATAAAGAGGCCAACAGAAATGTATTTTAAAGACACTGTATTCAAATACTGAACGCATTATCATTATTTCGAATAATTTCTCAATTTTCTTTTGAACTTCATGTTGCAGAATCTTATTCCCTTAAACTTATTATGCCACTTTGTTATGGAATATTTAGAATTAGCTTGGCCCCCTTTCGAAGAGAATGATCGGTGCATTAACATCAACTGAAAGTCATTGGCCTACTATATTTACACTCTACTGGAATGGAGCAATCAAGCTTGAGAGATGCAAAAATTTAGAAGTCTGGATCTATACTCTCAAAACCAAATGCTCATCGCGAAATACCACTTCCGGCACTTCTGCTGTGAAGAGTAGCTACACAGATTTGTTTCGTTTCTAAGTGGAATAATCACAAAGGCCAAAGAAGCATGCGAACCTTTTGTCAAATACATTTTTCTAAATTCAGGAAATGAATAAATAAAAAATCGGGCTCCATCATCGGGACCTATCTATCTTTTTGCAGGTACTTGCCAATTTTCAACTCTGTGGCTGTCGTAGTTTTATGGAAAAAGTGACACAAGTGTTTCCAAGTTGTCAAATATATAATTTATTGGGCCCAAAGAATACCCGCTAAAACACAATACCCGACAGGGGCTGTCATTATATCACGTCCTGTGATTGATTACAACTTAAAGTTAGTTAAAAATTGTGAAATGGTATAGGTTTAACGCCCCTATTAACACAATTAGGTTATTTAAGAGGCAGGATCTCCGAGTTTAACGTCCTTCTCCGAAAGCACAGAGCCAAAACGGAATTTCGTGTGAAGCGTGTTTCCTATGGACACGACGCCGGATAAAGTTAATTAATTAATAATCTGTTGTTTCATGTGGGTGATTATATTATATGCTTTAACGTACATCAATTCATTCCGTCAAAGGGCAACTGGTCCGTATATCCCTCTGTCCCGATAAATATTATCAGGAAATGCGCTCTAGGTAATTAATTATTCGAATAGTTTACATAATAACACGCGGTATCATGCCTGCTACTTAAAATATGGGGGTAAATGTCTTACGGCGCTCGCAACTGCTTAAGGTCATATGAGCGCGGACACACCAAACATTTTCAGATGGTAGGAAATTTTGAATTTTTCCTGGGTGACGGCCGAAGCCTATTCTTATCTTATCGATTTTGGACCAAAATGGATCTTAAACGTGCCCAACTTGCACACGAGATTTTTAGCCTTTGTCTGAGAAGGCTAGGTGTAGATTTTTCCTACCAGAAGATCAGAGGTGTGGCTGAAAGACAGCAGTAAGAAGGAGTCAAAAGAGTAGCAGTAGAAAGGCTGCAGAAAGAGTCACGAGCCTAGTGGAAGGGGTAAAGGAGGTGAGGTGATGGGGGAAGAAAGTGGAGACGAAAGCAGACAACAGAATATTACAAGAGAGATGGAAAGAAGGTGAAAGGAGACAATTTTAAACAAGATAATTTTTTCTTCTCTACCCGGATTCGAACCCGGGACCTTCGAATTGATTTGAGAAGCGAACACCTTAACCTCTTGGTCACGAGAGCCCGCCATTGCTGCAACTGCTGTTTCCCTTACTGCTGCTGGTGGTACTTCTGCAACTGCTGTTGTTGTTTTTTTTGCTTTGTTTTTTGTTGTTTTTGCTGTTTCTGTCGCCTTTGATGTTGATAGTGTTTGTGAAATAATTGGTATGATTTACACTCCAGTCGATCCAATGTTTGTTTGGGGCTCCTTTTTGGGCCTAAGATTCAAGACGCTCTTCTTGGTTTGTGTTGGTCTACACCCTGATTTCAAATGAACACTTTCTCTGTGTAATATCTGTATGATAAGTTAACACAATAGAAGAGATTATAATATTATGATTATGACTTTTGGGTGTGACTTTCGACGTTGCTTTCACTTAGTGTGTAACCCAACGTAAGCGATTTTAAGAACGAAGTAGACCAACGCGTGATTGACTTCAAGTTTACACATTGTACTTTCCCACCTCCATAAAAACTGGACAAGAAGACCTGGAAAAAGATATTTGGCCTTCAATGTTTAAGATTATACCTGTATAAGATAAGAATTGTTATAGTTTGCTGTTTACAAGTGTCTGGGGTTGAAGTTGTAATCAAACTACAAAATGCATTTGTGCATAACCTTAGGAATGCATGTTTCTGACTTGCCCTTTACTCCCTTTATGTCTGTATCTCAATTATTATATTGTCATTTATAATGAGGTGTTTGACGCCAAAATCGACACAGTTTAGATTGCGTAGGAGTCTGGCCTCCGACTTACCTGTCAGGGCCAACTAGGGCTGAGATGGATACAGCATCTCTTTACAAAAAGACTAAGATTCTCAATAAAAATTGCCCCCCCCCCACGCGGGAATAGAGCTTGAGTCTCCTGTTTACGACAACGAAGCATCACAGATACCTCTCTGTAATAAATTAATTAAGTGTTCAGTTTCCACTCAGATATGTATTTTTGAGTGATGCTGATCTTTTTTCTGCCAGTGCGTGCTGGTACAAGACAAAAATTCTGCAAATTTCTTTGATGTCGAAAGTGGTTCTAATTGCTTTACTTTGAGACAGTGTAATTTTCGTTGGAAAGTCCGGGTTCGAGTCTCGGTTCGGACACGTATTTTTTCGACCCCTCCTGCCTACCCAGCAGTAATGGGTACCTGCCTTTCAGTTCGGAATGTAAAGGCGGCATGGAAAGGAACTGGCCACCCTGCCATAATATGCCGAAGGCCAAGCAAGATTGTCTCACTAACAAGCAATCGCCAAGGTCCCGATCGGAAGCAGGAACAACTTTACTTTTACTTTTTGTTTGGAGACTCTGATGTCGAATCAAAGTGCTTTCAAAGTCCAACAAGCTGGTTTGATGATACAACGGAGGAACATGTTTGAAAATTATACTTTACTACTTTATTTTTGTGGCTAAGTGAGCAGTGAGTTCAGACTCAAGTAATGTCAAGCAAGTGTCGATGACACGGGGTTCAAATGGGTGGTCACAGGGGTGTGTCCTTGAGCAAGACCGGGCAACACTAGCTCAAAATACAGGGCGCTGCACAATGGCTACCGGCAATGACATGATCGCATGTATGTATGAATACATGCATGGATGTATGCACGTATTTTTGCTGTCGTAAACCAAACTGCCCTTTTGGTATCAATAAAAGTGTGATTTAGTAATTATTTATTTATTAAAAGAACGGAATTGTAGAAGTGTGTATGCTTTCCGCATTTGAATTGACAGTCAAGTGAAGCAATGCCAGCATCTGTGAAACAACGAACATTTATGTGGCTGAGAGCTTTTCGAGCAGAACACATGCTATCGACATCATGAATTATAATCTTTAGTCTGAAAACCGCAATTAATACTGACTAAAAAGTTGTGTTTCATCAACACAATCGTCATTATTTCAAGGTTTCCCAAGGCGTTGAGAGCGTCAACGCTCAGCCCCGCGAGTCATAAACGGACTGAAGGCAGCGCTAATTCCGTTTTACCGTCACATCAGGTGACTTTTGGGGCGTGATGATTATTCACGGTTTTCATATTACGTCAGATTGCACGTTTGACTTCAGGTAATTGATTGTTCTAAGGACAAGCGGGCTAACCCACATTTCGGGGGTTTTCCAGAAATCTTAACCTACACCAAAAGTGGGCATTGTCCTACCTTTAAGAGAAATTTGGTTTCATTGGTGTGTATATTTGTTTGGTTAAAGAGAGAACTCTCTCCTTTAATCGCAAATATTTAGACTTCTATTCAACATAGATGTTTATTTCTTTCACCAAAAGGAAGGCAAATAAATAGGCTTTAAGATGATACCGATAACCCCATATGACCTAAATTGACGAGCGCCTGATTTCACCACGTCGTGACACATATGTCGATGGACAGTGCAATCAAAGGTCCTGGGTGTTACATAAATGCATTGTGTTGAAAGGGGAGTCGAGCTAATACAACATCATGCTTGAAGACTGATTGAAGCTTACTGATTCGAGGGATAACCAGCACTTTGGCACTGAACCTTCTATTTAAGGGTAGGAAAGGAAGACTGTGTGGCGTCGGTATCCCAGTGGTCAGGCTTCGGGCTCGTAATCGTCAGATTGCGGGTTCGATGGTTCGAGCCTCAGCTCGGTCCGACGTTGCTTCCTTTGAAAAGTCCCTTTTCACGAATTGTCTTCTTGGCTTCGGTCCTTTCGAAGATGGATTTAAATTTGGAGGTCCTGCCTCTTAAATGACCTACAAGAGTTGATATGGGGCGTTAAACCTATACCGAGGGGGGGGGGGGCTCTCGTGGCCCTGAGCTTAAGGTGTTCGCACCTCATTCAAAAGTCCCGGGTTCGAATTCGGGTAGCGACCGAGTTTTTTTTTCTAAAAATTGTCTCCTTTCACCCCCATTCAAGCTCTGTAACAATGTTCTATCGTTTGCTTTCGTCTCCACTTTTAGCCCCCACCCCATCACCTCCTTTGCCCCCTCCTCTGGGCTCCTGACTCTTTCTGCAGTTTTTCTACTGCTATTCCTTAGCTCCAACTTACCGCTGTCTTTCAGCCACACCTCTGATTTTCTGGTAGGAAAGATCTACACCTAGTCTTCTCGGACAAGGGCTTAAAATTTCAGAGGTCCTGTATGCAAGTTGCGCACGTTAGAGATCCCTTGGTGGTTTAAAATCGAAAAGAATAGGCTTTGGCCGCCACCCGGGCAAAATTTTACATTTTCTATCAACTGAAAATGTTTAATGTGTCCCGCTCGTTCATATGACCTTATGCAGTTGCGAGCGCCGCGAAACACTTACCAAAAACAAACCTACACCATACTCCCCATTTTCACATCATCCCTGTATCCAACAGCAAGTATGGAGAGATTCTGACTCAAACAAAATCCGTAGTTTGTCAAACGTTTAATTCAAGTCACTTGAAAATCAGGCAGTCTATAAGGACGTAAGATAATTCATTCCTCATCGGTTAGCCCACGACGGGTGTCTCCTGGCAATTATCTGGGACGTTGAAAACCGAGCGGTCAGCCACTGACGTCACAGGGTCTGCTACGATTTTGAGGATGTCACCTTGTGGTGGCGCTGGAGAGGGAAAACGAGAGGGGGGATATTAACATGTGTGAAGCGTGCCGACAAATTGAGTTACTTCTCGGATTTGAGCCCTAGGAAAATAGATCATGCTTACAAGTTAGGTTTTTGCGATTTGTAAGTATGGAATAACAAAAGGCAATTAGTACTTAATGAATATTGCATCAATAGAAAACCTAGAAATTTGTCCTTAGTGTCGATTTTTGGCCAATATCTGCATTTGTAGATCGTGAGAAGTAACTCATTTAGTCAGCACGCCTCACATGTGCTTACGCACAGCAGAATTGTAAATGGGCTGAATTATCAATGTCATGCTCATACTGTGCAGAACAAGGTAGGGGGAACTGCTGCTTTTTCTTTCCTCATCTTTACTATCGTCATTCTTCCTCTACTTTTTTTGTATGTTTGTCACTCTCTTGCGAACTGCTATTTACGGGTTGCCTTGATAGTCGAAGCAGACTTTGTGCTGTTTAGGCTAGAGCACAATAAGCCTAATTCCCCTTTTGGACTTCTCTGTTGACATCCAACCCTTGGCGCTCCTTTGACTTTCTGCAGTTGTGAGCGCGTCAAACCTTACTAAAACTAAAATAAGAGAGATTGTCAATAACAACGTCTTTGTGGATGGTTCATTCATTTGTGACCAGTCTATACGCCTTGCAAACTAACAATACATTTGGGAGGCATCGTGGTGAAATAAGACGCATGTCAAAATAATGAAATTGAAAAAACCAAACCGGTATTTTCCACGCCGGTTTTGCAATAAAAAAAAAAATAGAATCTTTGTTTTTTGCCACAACAGCTTTTCGAACATTTAAGAACACACCTCTGTGAGTACATTGCTGAAAAACATTTATTACAAACATAAAAATGTAAATGTTCAGTGTACAGGGACTATCAAGCTGACGAAATTACCAAACTTTGGTAGCCATTTTCTCACTGATTTTACTTTTGAAACCAGTGACCCAACCTCTTTCAATCCCAAATATCTCGAAGTCTATTCAAGAAAATTGGGTATCTGCTTTTGAAATGGGTGAAGTAGTCATCATTACTTATTCATCTATCTATCTATCTATCTATCTATCTATCTATCTATCTATCTATCTATCTATC